CAGTGGTACCAGCAGCATTTCAGAGCAGACTTTGGTTTGATTTAACCTCTCAGTGATAGTCACTGCTCACACTCACATTGCGTGGGGGTAAAAAAACCCCTTAGCTATAAAACTTAAGCAGTGTATTGAATGTAAGGAAATGGAGGAGGAGAGATGACCAGCATTGCCTATGGAAAGCCAGGGATATAACTCTTAGCTACGCAGACATTCAGCTAAAAATCAGTATTTCCTAAATGTCTTTGAACTTCTACTGGATTTATTCCTCTTGGGTGAACAGGACAAATAACCTATAAAAGCACGACCTGTATTGCCAAGCAAAATACTCCCAATAGTTTTTACTTACTCTGTTAGGTCATTCTCCCAAAGAAGTCCATGCTAAAATTTCTATTAATTTTCAGAGGAGGGGAAGGATATTGCCCTTAACCCAAAACACGAATGACTGATGGGCATGGAGGTGACATATGTGGTTTTTCAGAGGGTGGCCCATAGGCTGAACCTCCACAGGCTGTGCAGGTACAGGAGCAATGACTTGAAGGAACAAATCAGTTTATTGTGGCGGGCAGCAGCAAGCCTGAAACAGTGTGAGCAGAGGCTGCAGACTGGATGGGTCTGAAGGAGTCACCTCTGCTCCCCCCTCACCATGGCACTGGAAATGTACTGGGTGAGCTGGGAGGGATTCACACTGCACCTGCCTGAGTGGGGATTAACAGAGGATTTACAGGCCTGGGGCTGCCAAGCCAGGATCCTCTCCTGACCAAAGGACTCGCTGAAAGAAAGAAAAGAAAAAAAAAATCAGGATCTACTACACTCCTGCCAAATAACTGGAGAAATGCAGACACAATTTTCACTTTGCTTACAAAATAAAAACCTAACTTTGTTTAGGCAGCACAATGGGGCTAAAGAGAAACCCAAGCAGTGCTTTTTGAGGAGGAACCTGTCAAAATAGTAGCTGTGTTTCAAAGGCACACAGTGTTTACCTTCCAATCCATGCAAGAAAAATACAGAGGAGAGAGGTGGGTTCATTTTACACGGGTGGTTCTCACTTAATTCTATGAAAAATCTCCTGCTTAAATGATCATTTGTCAGCAGGAAAAATAAACCCCTCCAGTTTTGAATTTTGTGTGGGAGCCATTCCAAAAAAACCTTTGTGCCAAAACCATCTTTGGAATTACCCCAACAGATGTCGGTTGATGACTGCCGTAACAGCAGCTAAAAACTGGCCTCATCCAGGCAAAATAACAGCGACTTCTTCCTTTCCCCAAGAAACCCCTGGTGTACGGAGCAGCCCAGTTGGGACCTGTGTGGAGGGGATGCTACAGGAACCATCCTCCTGCTTTCAAACCAGTCAGCACTGGTAAGGATGGAAAATGTAGCCATGAGTTATCCATGGCTTTGGTGTCACTGGGTTCTGAGTATCTTTAACTCTTAAGTATTGTCCGCTGGCATGGAGGAGACTTAGCAAATGCTGGGAACACTTGGAAGGACTGGGTTCTACAATAGTGTGTGTTCGGGAGGGGACCAGCTCTCAGAGGCAGCAACCCCTGGTCAGGCTCCACCAAAAAGCCCATCCCGTGAGAGGTGAGCAGCTCGGCTCGGTTGCTTCAAAGTGGAAAATAAATTGGCAAACACCAACCCTCTGGGGCAGGAGAGAACATCTGCAGCTAAAGGCATGAAGCAACCCCCAGCGCACACACACCAGTCACTGCTCGAGCCATCCTCTCAATGGGGGTTTGCCTCTGACCTTTGGGCAGAGCACACATGGGAATGGCAGTCCTGCTTTTCACTGAGCACATGTGTAGCATTTTTAGGAACAGCAACTGTGCTGCGCCGGCACTTTGGGGTGCAGACAGCCCCGAAAGGCAAGCGGCAGAGCCCTGACACAGCTCCCCCAGGTCGGCCAGCATCCCCACCCCGCATGGGAGGGGCCCAGCTCACCCTCCCAGGGAGGAGCTGCTGGCTCCCACCCCATCGCTGCATTACAGAGAGGGTCAGGCATGCACTGAAGGTTGGACACCCCAAGGCATTTTGGGGAACACAGGTCCCCAAGAGCATTTCCAGCTATCTGACACCCCATTTGTGAGGGAGATGAGCTCAAAAATCCTTCCTGGCAAACCACCCTGCACCTGTCTCCTTCTGAGAGCTGCAAATGCCAATCTGCGCTCACCCAGCTGAACTGAAGAGCATCACGAGGTTGCCTGCGACTCCCTCAAAACCCGCGGAGCCTGGCAGCAACAGTACATGGCAGCTGCCTTCAGGATCTGAGTTTGTTGCTCTTTTATCTGACCATTATTCTCAATCTGGACCTCCCGCCTCGCCTCTCCAGCTAGCATCACTGTCGGGGGCACCACCTGGCACAGATGTCCCAGGTGCCAGGGAACGGCTCTTGGGATGTGCTATATCCCCCGTTGGTGGGGACAGCCAGGAATACCATTCTGTGTGTGCACAGGCTGGTGACCCGCATCGCTGGCTCAGGGAGGACGAACGGAGCAACACACAGTGTCACTGACCTGAGCCACAGGCACCGGGATTTGCAGGACCCGCATCTCCCCAGACCACACCTTGGAGTCCTGGCCAACCCTGCCCCACACTGCAGCAGGGCTCAGGCCATCCAAAGGAATTTGCACAGACTCCAAGTCACAAACATCTCTACATACACATTTCTCAGACCCAAAACTTCAATCAAAGGAAACTTTTGTCAAGGAAAGCTCAGCCCAGACGGTTCCTGAAGAAACCCCAACCATGTGATGGCTTCAAAGGCAACTCCAAAGCCACAAACACAACAACCGTCGGAAGATCCT